TGTTACCTGGCTAGGTAACATCTTCAGGGCTAGAAAGGAGTGGGGTTTGCTCTCTGTTTATATACAGTGGCATGCCCTGCCAGTGTTGGTGGGGGTGTTTCCCTGCACCCCCTCTGGTAGCTCCTTGATTAGGTTATTGTTTACTGCTTGATTGTATGTCTGGTGATAATCTGTTTAGATTTGTGGGTAAGAACCAGCACATTTAGCTGGATTTAGAGACATACTGAATGCCAGTGCTGTTAAAAAGGTGGAGTGATGTGATCAGCAAACCACATGTCAGAAAGAATTTCATCACTCCTTAACCGCAGCTTCCAAATATTCTATACGGCAGCCGCACACTGTATTTCAGTGGTCTACATGAGAGGTAATTACAAAATGGATAAAGTAGACAAATATGTCTTCACCAGTGAAGGGCATACTAGTAGAATCTAAACGATGGCATCCTGACCACAACAGCCTCATAACTGCCCAAGTTGAATGCTAAATTCAGAAGCATGCCAAGCTGTAAACTTGATTCTTCAAAAGGTGTCATGATCTACCCCAATTGCACATTAGCTGGTTTAATCCATTTTGTTGTGAGCCTAATCTTGTTAACTTATATCTGATGTATCATTGCATCCAGACACCAATACAGGACATGAATAACCTCCTTGACTCTGGCTGACAAAGAGGGGAAGAGCTGGATATCATCAGCATGACTTTTTCTCATGGCTTCATGGGTATGTTAAAAGCATAGGGCACACAACGGATCCCTGAAGAATCCTTGAGGTTAAGCAGCAGCCCTCGCCCTTCCCCAACACCACATCCAGGGACAGAGAAATTGGACCACGCACTACCATTATGATTGGCATTAGCCAAGCTCTCCTGACTGGAAGCCATGGTCAGGAGGGACAGAGGCAGAACAAGGACTCATTCAAGCTTTTTTGGCACTTGAGGCAGAAAAGCAAACAAGTCTACTTCCCTTCCCCGGGACTAAATATACACTAATTTAAATAATGAACAAATTGCTGCTTTTTCATAACCTCAAAGTGAGTTGCCTGAGCTGACTGTTTCATTGTTCAGCATTTAATACATGTATATGCCACCTTTCCTCCAAGGGTTCAGGTTGCATACATCATCCCTCTTCTTTTATCCTCACAACACTTTTGTGTGGTAGGTCAACCTGAGGGCGGCTAGCACAAAAGCTTTATAGTTGATTAGGGATTTGATCTGAATCTGCCTACCATTACACCGAACTGATTTTCTCTGATCTCTGCCTCTCTTTTTTGATTGGCTCTGTAACCTACATTGAAAGCATTTATCCTTCTTGCCACATATTGGCTATACTGCTTTTACATGGTTCTCCTTGTTCCACTAGGCTAAGTATTTTGGCCAAATCACCATTTCCCATTATTAATTTTAAGAACTGGGCTAATTCTTGAAGTGGTTTTAAACTAAAACCTCCTTTCACACACGGAGGATAACGCAGGCGTATTTGAGGCTTGCCACAGCTCATTTATATCCTTTAGATCAGGTGCCGTCCAGATATTTTAGGTTTCAGATCCTGTTAATCCTGTCAGCATGGTCAATGACAAAGAGTTGTCGAACCGTAAGACAAAATATTAGGGTTAAGTGTTCCTTGATCCTTATTTTCCATTCATCCTTCCTGCAATATAAGGAAAGTAGAGGATGTACATATTGTATCCAGGAGAAAAGTATACACAAACTTTCTGAGTTAATTAGTATAGTTTGTTTTCTTGGAAATATTCAGGTTTTCAGCCTGGAATTCTAAACATCCCTGACAATGGCCTCAGAGTAAACTGTTACATGATGTCTGCTTGAGTGCTGAAGAGTCACAGAACACAATGTACTCTGTAAAAGCATTAGAGGCTCGGATAATAGAGTATACATGCTTGTTTAAGGAGAGAATGGTATCTCTGAAACAGTGCAACACCGTTAAATGATGATGATTATGCTAACACAGGGGTTCTTATACTTTTTCAGGCCTGTTAGTTATAAAAAAACCAACCCAAATTTCCCAGAACTCCTGATCAAGAGGTAAAGCTCTAGTGATAGAAAACTGGCTGAGTCTGAGTGACCTTTTTTGCTTTTGCCCTTATTCTCTCATGGAACCCCATCAAGTTCTTGTGGAGTCAACAACCCCTTGTTTTGCAGGGGTTCAGCAAAACAGTTTGAGAAGCCCTGATCTAACACATCCAGTGTAAGAGCACAAAAGGATTAGACCAGGATTCCCCAAAGTGATCAGTATCAACCCCCAAGTGTCAATGGGACTATCCAAGGGGTTGATATTATTTTTAGTAGTAGTAGTAGTACTATTAATTAGTGTTTATTAAATTATTTTCAAATAATGTTTGGAAGTTGATGAGCTGAAGAGTTTGGGGACCGCTGGATTAGGCACTAAAAGATGCTCTTTTAAGCCCTGGATAACAGCTTCCTAAGATAGTCCTAGCTCCAGACTGGATGTTAGCTGCTTTTAGCTATCTCTAAATCATCTGTCTCCTGTCTAGATCTTGCCTTAACAGCTTCTTATTCTCTAACAATAGTGCTTCTCAACCTCAGCATCTTATAAGATGGGAGTCAGAAGCCTCATAATCAATTAACCATTTTGCTAGTTTGTTTGCTTTGTTTCTGCCATTACAAGAAAGGTGGGGGTGGGGGGGTGGAAGGAGCTAGAAGGTGAACCGTTAGGCCAGGATGGACTGTTATCTGTTTCGCAGCAATGCCCAAGGCCGTACCAGCGTGAGACCAGGAGAGACCCAGTGACATGCACAAGAAGGACTATGGGATGGAAGAGGGGAGGTGAAAGGTGGAAAGGGGGTAAAATTCAATTTGGCGCACGTGGGCTTTTAGTTTCAGCCATGCTCTAGAACTGTACACTTCTGTCTCAATAAATGAACTTTTCTTTGAACCTAAATCGGTTTCAATGGGAGTTGCTTTCGCTGGGAACTGTCACAGTTTCTTACAATGGGTGGACCAACTCCCAGAATTCCCCAGCCAGCATGATAAAGTTGCAGAGTGCTGTAGCAAATGCTCAGCTTGCCAAGACTATCAACATAGTCAGTACTTCTTTTGGTGACATATTTCTCTTCTCTCAACAGTGCAGAGGCCAGTCTTTTGGAAAAATTAATGGAATGCTCTTTCACTCAGCTGTGCATTCCGCCAACTCTTAAAAACTAAGCAAACCACCACGAAAGAAAAACACCAGAAATTCATTAGTGTCCATCATCCTTAAAGTGTTAATTCTGTATACAAATGGGGAAGCATTTACTAAACCAGAAGGTCCACTCATTGATGCAGTCTCGTAAAACTTTCCTCAAACCCATGGCCTGTCATGCTGACAATGAGTTCAAGAAACCCTCACAAATCTGGTGTGAGAAAACAGATGAATTGTATCACTACCCCAACACTAATTTCCAAGCTTTCAATGGTTCTGCTCATCATACTATCACAATGAGCTTAATCACAGCCCAAATTATGGGAGATCCTCCCAAGTAAGCCACCTTGAGCTCTAGAAAAAAGATTGGGGAAATACATGCAATAAATAATAGCTTCAATATACCTCATATCAAACACTGTAGACATAATTTGGAATTGTACTAATGGAATGGGGTGACCCTGCGGAGAAAAGGGACAAGACAAGGAAGTTTTCTCCTTTTCTGCAGTAGCTATACAACCACTGGCAAAACTGTGCTATTCTATGAATCACGAGTGAGAATTCACTGTACAGATCATAAAATCACCTTATATTCCAGCATTCATCTCTAATCCTTTTAAGGCTATTCTGAGTTCCTCAATACTCACAAATTATTCTGCACCTTCTTTGGTTTGAAGATTAAAAAAAAAAACTTCTTTTATAGAGCTATGTTATTAAATTTCAAGAAATGTTAATATTCCATCTGAATTCTTCCCCATTAAAGAGGTGGGTCAATTAGTACACAGAAATTATAATCCAATGTTGAATGAGATAAAGATGATGTATCTCTGAATAAACACATTTTGATTTCTCTCCTATTGTGTATAGTACAACTGAAAATAGCTGCCCATTGGCTGTCAGCCCAGAAAACTTTGTGGCAGAAACGGCTTATGGAAGATGTGGACTTGGCTGTCGGATATTTCTCATTCATCTATGAGCGCGTGCACACACACACAAATAATAAGAACTTTAGAGAGAGTTGAGGAAGTTTGCTCTGCCTTTATCCCATATTATTTACAACACTAAATAGTCTCCATTATCTCAGGGATTGCTTTAGAGGCATTTCTTTCGCAAATATTTTTCAGCAGGAAAACCTTTTACATACAATGTTATGTTTTCTTTTATGATGTTTTCATAAACAAACGTCTGGGTTATTTTGTAATACTTTTGTCTAAGACTTTGGTATGGAACATTCTCTCCTCACCCCTTTTTTCATTATTTGAGATTTTGCTGGTTTTCTTCACAGAAATTACTGTGTGAAATATGACTTCTAAACCTTATGGCACAAAGCAGGAAAAAGATTGGTTTTATGGTGTTAAGCTCCTTCTCCATCTGCGTACTTTCCCCAATAACTCCCCCACTGCTCTGTGCAAAATCTGCAATTAGAGGTATTAATCTTCCATTCTGCTGAGAAGCCTCAGCAGATCAATGATTATCTGGGCAGATGATTAGTTTGCCCTGTGGCAATCCTGAAGCAACCATTATTTATTGACTGCTTTACCTTTTTTGCCTGTATTTTAAGAATAGCATTAGGATGGATGAGTCACACAATGCAAGGAATCCCAGCTTTGGTCTTGTTGACTTGATAAGTCTTTCAAGGCCCAGACCAGGGGCATTTTTTCCTCTTTCATTTATATATTTTCTGCAATTAAGATTGTCTGATCACTTTCAGTCCTTTCTGGCAGGTGGTCAAAATGCCCCACCTCTCCCCAACCCCGAATGTCACCATATCTAGCACCTCAGTCATTTTGCTTCTAGCCCCAAACCAGTAACATTACCACCAAATTCCAGATCTTCTCCTCAGTCACGCGCTTCATTTTCAGCAGTTTCTCATACTTCATCTGGTAGGACTGAAGGAGCTTTTGGAGGTCCATCTAAATACGAATGAATAAACAAATAAAGCGTTTGCCTCAATATGTCTGAACAACTTCCAATTTTGGAGCCAGTACAATAAAGAGTTGCAGTTCCATTAGGAAGAAGTAATTTGTTTTTTTCAGCCTCACTTATCCCATGAAGTTTGTTGTTCATTAAAAATCAGATAGCACCTGAATCTCCCTTGACCTTCCTTAGAGAAAAGATATGAAAATAGTGCCATACTGTTGTCTTCTCCTTAAGTTCTTTTTCTTTAACAAAACAACTAACTTCACCACAGGCATCCAGAGGGGTGGGAGGAGTGATAAAACATGCGTAGTGATGTTGTGATACAAACCCTACAGCTTACATGCTTGCATCCAATGCCACGACACAAGTATGAAAGTTCAAGATGTAAATATGAAAGCTCCCATTTGGTCCTGATGATGGATGCCAACATGTAAGTTGCAGAGTTGGCACTGGGCCTAAGAGCTTCACTTTACTTGCTTTGGCACTGTTCCCTAATCAACAATTATTATAGTCTTTTTCATTCACTTGCCAGACCGCCCCCCTCTTGCTTTCTCCACTCACCCCACCTATAAGATAGGTTAAGCTAAGGGACCATGCCTAAAATGCTTTCAGACAAAATGTTGGTTGTGTTCTCATGCGTGGAATTTAGCAATGTTTCCAACACTGTCTTCTTTCATTTGTGACCTCTTTTTCTATCTTTTTTCTTACGTAAAAAATCAATTAGTAAAGAAAGATGGACTAGCTTTTTACTGGCAGCCATTTCCTGTCTATAAGGAAGCATCCTCACAAAGCAATCTTGGTCAATCAGTTGGGATTTTGAATCCCAGGAATACAAGAAACCTAGCCCCAGCTTTTCCTCAGGCATTTTCATCCTAACCTCTGTTTGTCCCAATGGCAGATAAGGATCCTAGAAAAATTCTTGTTCTCCAGTATTGTGCTGGAAAGAACATTACTGTGAGGTGAGGAAAAGGAAATTTAGCAAAGGATTAAAACAGCAAGGAAGTTAAAGATAGGAAAAGAGCTAAATGCAGCAGGGAGAGAAAATATAATTTCTGGGCTCTGCAGAGCCAAATGGTAAACATAATGCATATTGCCAAAGTGAACTGAAAAGGGGCAGGAGAGGATGAAACAAAAATATAAATATCTTGATCCAAAAGTTATCTGACTTTTCTTCAGCAGCTTTATGGTTAAGTACTTGCTAGAAGATACAAGGCATGTTTGCACACAATGGAAAACTAGACTTCTTCAGGGAATGTGTGGCATGTACCTGGACTAAGCTATTACTTAGCTATACCCAAATGGATGTAATCAATTACATTCATTTGGGTATAGCTAAGTAATACCTCTTGATGATTCTGTGATTCATGTATCTATTTATCTTTTCACGTGAATAGCTCTGGCTTGTCTTCTCCAAGCTAACCAAAATGAGAAGCCATGCAAACCAAGAACCATCCATGATGAGCTTGTGAAAGAGGAGGAAACCAGTGATACGGATAAATAAACCACAGAAGGAGTTAACCAAACCATGCCCATAAGAGGAGACATTTATTGGGAGTGATTAAATAATATATATTACCACATTGCTAATTTCTTCAGAATTCCGTATCACCATTATCACACTAAAAGAGTTCCAGAACAATTAAATTTAAAAGGTTTGATAAAATGTTTACTATATTGGACATTTTTTTTATTTGCTCAAAACATTTCACTATAGACTTCCTTAAATTTCTTTTGTTGTACTGTCAAAGCCTAAGCAATCCAGAGATTTGTACCAATTTATAAAATGTCCTTTTTCAAACGTGGTTATTTTATTTATTTATCTATTTGATTTATATAGCCACTCACTCGGCACACAACTCAGGGTAGCACACATCACCAACAAACCCATATAAAAACAAAACAGTAAACAAATAATAAAAACAAAACACAAACACATAAGGACATAAAGTGCTGGGAAAAATTCAGCCAACAGGACCATACCACTCCCTGACCCAGTGCCTGGGGATTATACTAGCCTAGCCACTTTCCTCACTCAAAGAAACACCAAGAGCCATAATTAATTCTAAAAAGCAGTCCAGATGGGGAAAACAAGTCATGCTAAAGCATAATTTGTTTAATCATGTTTTACTGTCTTAGCCACTATTCATGGCTTCGCATCAAGCCATAAACCATTGTTTATAACATGTCAGTTCATACAATGTGGTAAAACAAACAAGCTGCATATTGGCTTATTGCAATATTTTTTTTTTGGTGCCTTTGAGTCATAGTTGACTCCTGGCAACTGCCTGGATTAGTCCCTGCAGTTTTCTTGGCAAGGTCACACAGCTGGTTTTGTGCCTAAGGTGGGACTAGAACTCATGGTCTCCTGATTTCTAGCCTGGTGCCTTAACCACAACACCAAACTGGCTCTCTATTGAAATGTGCTGCACACTAAATATGCTATTTGCCAAATGGCCAAGGAAAACAGAAGCAATTCTGATTTCACCACATGGCTACTCACCTGGGATTTCCTTCTGTGCTGTTCAGAGACAGATTTTCGAACTGTCTCCACTACATTAGATACAAGGAAATTGGGATGAAAGGACCGGGAAGGGAACTTCTGCCGACACTGGGGGCAAGTGGCAGTTCCAGAGCAACTATTCCAGTATTTCTGGATACATTCCTTACAAAAATGGTGCATGCATTCCAGCATGACAGGGTTCCTGAAGAGGTCATAGCAGATGGAACAGGTCAATTCTTCTTGAAGGGTCTGCTGCTGGCTCTTGCCAGCCATTTCTGCAAAAACATAAAGGAGGACCTGAGTCCTGATTCTACCCAAACAGATTTTTACAACTGGAACATACTGAGAAAAACATGATTAGCTTGAATTCTTCTTCTAAAAACAAAAAAACAGCCATTGAGCAGGTCTGCGTATCCTTTCCTTTGTACAAAAGCTTCCATCTTTATGCAACTGATGGCATAACAACAAGCATGAGTAAAGTGACCGGTAAAAGCATTTCTTAATACAGAAAAGTAGCAAAGAGAAATGCAGCACTTCATGCTTTTTTTATCAGCAGCCAAAGACACGGGACGTACTTTTACTCAATCTGACGGCCTCCCGATATATTCAATCTTAACCATATTAGATGGGAATAACGTGGGGCTAACAGACCTGGGCTGCAAAAACGCGCACCGCCGCCAGAGGGCAGGGAAGGGTTTTCCGTCTCTCTTTACTGCCCTCTAGCGGCCGCCTGGAAGTTTGCAGCCCAGGTTTGCTCGTCCTAAGCGGCAATCCCGCACTTTGAAAAGGCATCACGTGGGGGGAGCCCGGCGTAACAAGCAGCCTGCTAGGAAAGACGCAGCATCTCAGAGACCACGTTCCCATCTCAACAGCCGCTTGCCTGAGATCCAGCTCCTTGCGAGTTTTCCCCCAAAACGGCGCGACGCGGAGAAAAGTGCCACAAACACCGAGTAGCGGTTCAGACAACAGCCACAACACCCAAGCGGGTCCCTAAAGTGCTCCTCCGAACCGGCCCGCGGACCTACAAGGGCTGGGCGAAGGGGGATTCCCCCCCCCCGGGCCTTGCTCACTACAGGCCAAGGGCTACCGCCCTTTCTCCTCAGCAATGCCTGCGTCGTCGCCCATCGCTTTTACTAACCCGCCACGCTGCGCCTTCGCCGAGGGACTCTAGTTCAAAGTCCCCAACTTTGACTGTAAACTGGACCCAGCCCGATTGAGCGGCGGCCCTTTACACCAATCGGGGCAGTCCCCGACGGCCGATCTCGCCCCCTATTGGTCGACTCCGGAGCGTGATTGAACGCGAGGGCGCGAGCAGCGTCGCCTGCCTGATGTTGCTGCGGAAGCCTTCCGGGCGCTCGCTGCTGGCTCTGCTCGCCTCTTCCCCTAGCTGTTGTTTGCAGCAGAAGAGAAGTGCTTTTGAATTTGCAGCGACGGGCTAAGTTGCGGGGTCTTTTCCTGTTTGCTGCAAACCAGAGCGCGTTTGGATTCAAGACTTAATTCTGTGAACTCTTTAATGATCGTTTGGGAGGAAGAACGGTGGAAGCCTGCAATCGGTCATTTCCAAAACAAACAACTTTTATCTCTTGCAGAGTTGGCTAAATTGCACAGTCCAGTCCAGTCCTGTGCCCTTCCCCTCATTTTCTCATGTAAAGGGGGAGATCAAATGACAGCTCCACGACCCCTCACGTGGGCCCAACCCTTTGAAAGGCAAAGGCCTCAGTAAATCCTGCCCTTTTTCTGTTCTACTCCTCATGTGGTACAAGCACTGAAGTAACCTTTTTTTGGTTTGCATAGTCAGCTGCCATGTTTACCTGTTTTAGCAATCAAAATGGTACTTTTCACGCTGCCTTGGTTGCAAAGCTTTGAGCTGCTTCCTGCAGGTCTACACTCTGACCCAACACAAGCCCAGCTGAGATGGTTGCAAGGCTGACAAGTTTCTCTTGTATCGCCATGGAACATAGATGCGTTTTTTATTAACTTGGAGAAATTGTTTTTCCCTGGCAACAGTTACAGGGAGCATTAGAAGTATATGCAGAGCAACAAAAGCATTTGGAAAGGGGGATCTTCATCTTTGTGCTCATATGTTCCAGAACAGTCTTTGGAGTGGTCCTGCTGAAATGGGGCATGAAATGGCTTCAGTTCACCGTTCAAATCACTTGAATCAATTTGTACATTAAGTGACAACACTGTCTCTTATTGCTCTGTGTTTTTAGTGTACTTCTTCAGGAATAGAGAGGAATTTTGGAATATCGTTGATTGATTGATTATGTGCCATCAAGTTGTTGTCAACTCTTAGCAACCACATTGATTTTCCCAGTATGAACCATCTCTAACCTGGTCCTTCAGATCTTCCAACAATGCACTCATCACCACTGTAACTGAGTCCATCCACCTTGCTGCTGGTCGTCTACTTCTTCTCTTTCATTCCACCTTTCCCAGTGTTAGAGCCTTTTCCAGAGAGCTAAATCTTCTCATAATGTGTCCAAAGTAGGATAATTTGAGCCTGGTCATTTGTACCCCAAGTGAGAACTCTGGGTTGACTTGTTCAGTGAACTATTGATTTGTTTTCTTGGCTGTGGAATATCATACAACATCCCAAACATATAGCTGTGGTCCTTGAGCTACAGCTGCTTAAAGAATTTAAGTTATTACCCCATGCCTTGTGATCAAAATATTATCTTCTTTAGTGATTCTTGTATTCTTGAATGGGGAAGATAATAGTTTCAATATGAAGTTCCTCTAGCAACTCCTGTGACGCTTCAGAATGTTTTCAGATTTCTCAATTGTAGGTATAACTTTGTTTTCTCCTGTTGTTCTATTCCAGACATATCAAGGTCAACCTCATGAAGTCTCTTGCTGATATTTATTTATTTATGAAATTTACATACTGGCTCAATCAGGTTAGATTCTAGGCAGCTGACAAGTATATAGAATAAAGTACAATAATAACTCTACAAAATAATTTAATAGAAAATATACCAGTTCATGTAAGTCCTCTTGTTGGTACAACATATACCACTGAAGTCATTTGCCCAGTGTGCCATACAAACTGACAGAGTAGCATTTCACTGATTTCAGATCTGTCACAATCTTCTGCTTGACTTTTCTTTCCAATGACTCTCCTTCTGAACTGTTTCTTTCAAAGTAGCGATGCATGTGAATTCTTGGGTGATGTGTCTTCTTAGATGTTTCTGGAATACACCATAAAAATCAGCTATCAGCTCCAGAATTGTAAGGAAGTTTCTAGTGTTTTGCATATATCATGGATCTGAAATGCCATGCAGCACTAAGTTTTGGGTTAGCCAGTGTTCTTGCAATGACAGTGAGCCTTTTCATAATATTTTGCCTCTAAAAGACTTGGCAAAGTCCTGTCTTGATACCAACCACCTCTGGCGGTTTTTAATTTTAGACTCAAGCTCTTTTTCAGATGATTTGCTGCCTTCTCATACCGTGTCAGATGATGAACCAGACCTTTTTAGTCTTTTTTTCCTGTAGAACCCATTGAGGTTAGAACAATAGACTGGAGGAATGTGCACAAAAGCAGCGTGCATCATTCTGGGATGTTAAGCCAGGGCCTCCCCACTTTATTACCTGTAGGGATTTCATGCCAGTAATATCCTAGATGGAAATGCTGTTTTCATTGTCTTTGGAAAACATGTAGTTTTTCACTTGCTGTGGCCCATGGAAGACAACAAAAGTCCCTCAGTGGATCCTCAATCCTGCATTAAATAGACTCAGCAGCAGCTGTTTGTGTCTCCACCACACTCTTTTCTGATTTACACTTCAGGAATGTGTATGGCAACCTCCATTTGAGACGGAGATATGGATATTGCAGTAGCTGCCAGTTCACCTGCGTTGTAACTGGAAGATGAGGCATCTCGTCATCATTCACAACCTCATGGGATGAACAGTTGTGACTATGTATATCAGGACAGCTCCTTCCTGCTTAGGCACAATAATAGAACTGTAGAGTTGGAAAGGACCACAAAGATCATCTAGTTCAACCTTCTGCAGTGTGCAGAAAAACCTGTGAAAGGTGGCTCTCTGGCCTTTTCTTAAAAGCCTCTAGAGATGGAGAACCCACAATCTCCATAGGTATTGTTCCTCTGTTTTACAGATCTTGCCAATGTGAAGAGTGTTCTTATATTTAAATGAAATCTAGGTAGCTGCAACTTGTATCTGTTGTTTCTGTGGCCATGGAAAAGAGCTCTTGGCCATATTTCCTTTATTGTGCCTATCACACCTATCATGTCTTCTTTTCTTCAGACTAAACTTCCTAGGTTTTTTCGGCCTATCCTCATAAAGAAAAGTGTCTTTTGTGTTTGGTTCTCTTTTCTGAATAAGCCTGAGAGGATATTTTGTTCTTTCTCTTTTGACTGCTGTTCTGTGTAGCTCGGGTGGCTTTGTCAGGATAAGAAGTACAGCCTAAGCAAGGGAAGATGTTTTTCTCTTAAGGGCTTCACTGCCCCTTCTAAGCATCTTCTTTTCTGGCTCTGAAGAGCTGACTGCTTGTTCTCCTCAAGTGAGTTCAGGAAATCAGCTGGAAACAGGAAGCTGTCTGAGAAGCTGGTGTTAACTAGTCCCTGATTCTGACTCCTCTGTGGCTCGCCCGTTTGTCTCGTGCCCTCCATCTCAGCAGAGCAGTCCACCATCTCTGGGCATTAGAGCAGAGATAATTTTTACTTTTATGTATTTAATTAACTTGTATGCCACCTTAGTGACAAAGGTGACTCTAGGCGGCTTACATATTAACATTAAAAAGAGCAACAGAATAAGAATGAAGAAATATATCCAGCAGCATATCAGGGAAGAACAATACAAAAGAATACAAAACCAGTAATAAATCATGAAACTAACTAATCCGATATCAGGGCATGTATCATAAGCTACCTTGCCCCAGAACCCTCAGAAGAGCCAGGTTGTTAAAGATTTGCAAAAGCCCAACAGGGTTGAGGCTGTACAGACTGTCTCAATGTTGAAATTAGAGTTGAAATTAGAACCTTGATCGAGAGATTATCTGAATAAGGAGTAAAACCACCACAACTTGCTGAGCCATTAAATTTTGCTCAATGTAGGAGAACGTAACTAAGATGGAGTAGAACTTCCTGCCTTACTCAACAAGGTCTCAGCAGTGCAAGATAAAATGGCATGAGTATCTAACGTTCAGTGTCTACATTCATACATCATACTAAATCATGGTTTGGCTTAAATAGTCCTATCGTTTTTGAGATGTAAAAATATGGATGACCAATAGGTGGCTGTGAAAAATTCAAGTGTTTTGCATCTTTTTGCTGCCTTCTAGTGGTCATGTGGATTTTTGCAGCCAAGTTATGCTAGTCTATTTTAACAAGCCATAGCATTCTGGTTCATACATTGTAAATGATTTCACACATTACAGTAAGCTATGATGTGGTTTATTTGGTTAGAGCTCAACATGATTTGCAAATCTGGTCACTATAACATTATGTAAACATGTCCTCTAGCATATCCTTGATTGAGGAATGTAGAAGATGGTCAGCCCTTCTAAATTTGGCCACCATTCTTCTTATATATTCCATCACTTCTCAGCTTGTTCTTCCCCACTGTCTTATATGGTGGAAAATGAAGGCCATGTCTTTCTCCTCTCATTTGTTCCATAGCTGCCAAGGTATAGTATTGCAACCAAGCCATCAAAATGTGAACTAGTGAACAACCAGAAAAGGTTTATTTAAGCAGCATTTAAAAATAATGACTGATTAGTTTTTATCAATACATCAATTCCCATCTTTCTAAAAATCTCAATCTAAATACCACCTCACTTGGTGTTTCATTCAGTTCCCCAAATGTAACTGTGTTCCAAATATTTTAAAGGTGATACCTGCATTTGAAGGTGGTTCTGAAGTGTTCTTGGAGTCTGGTTTCAACATCTATAAGCATTTCCATCTTAGTTTACTTAGCTGTAGTTTACTGTATGTCGTGGCCCCAGTGCAAAAAGATGGTGGACAGAGATGTGTCTACGTTGGGCCTCTGTCATAAGCATTAGTCCTAGGCAGAACTCTTATTCGCATGTGGTATTGTGGCTCAGGGCAGACTTCAGTAAGAACATACATTAACAATAGATCATAATTGAGTGTGGGACTGATAATTCCTAGA